ACAATTCCTTCCCCCCCCCTCTGAAAGTTCTTCCTCTAGTACGACCCTGCACCTTATCCGAACCTTCCTGACTTTTCCCATCATTCCATCATTTCTTCTACTTCTCTAAAAAATTTATCATTTACCCTCTCGCACTTCTGGGGTTCTTTTCCCGAGATCGCTCCATTTTTCTCGGAAAAAATGCTCGCGAGCAGAAGGTGGGGAGTGGGGTTGGGAGGTACACTCAACATCACCGCAATTGTCGGGTTGCAATCTGCGGCGTTTCCATCATTGGTTGTTTCCTTCCCAAATCGATCTTTACCCGATCGCCATTGGTAGAGCAAGGCAGCCGGACGCGGGCTCGAACCGCGCCGCTCACGCCACCTCCGACAGTCCGCATGATGATGAATGTACATGGATATATAGCGCACTTTGACAGCAAAAACCCAAAAAGGCCAAAAAGCATTGACCACCAAAAACATTGTTCTCTAAAGCAAATACGGTACCACCCCCCCCCCCTCTACCAGCAGCGACCGAATACGATCCCCTCGCTAGGGATCCTCTACGAAGTGCTCTGATAACAAGTCAAAAATATCCAATCGTTGCACAGAGGCGATGTGTGTTCGTTCTACACCTGAACGCGGACGATTTGGGGGGGGGGGGGAGGAAGGGAAGAGGGTTGCATATGAAGGAAAAGCACACACTCAGGTTTCACACGAGGACACTGCATGCTCATCGTGCGGGTGGATTTGATTGGTGAAATGGTGAAAGAAAAGGCGGACCCACCATTGAGAAGAGAGCCATATCTCGGATAACCACGCCCATTGTGTGAGCGAAGAATGTGCCCTTGAGCTGCCACCTGTTATCCTATAACGTGCAGGGAAACCTGTACGTCATTTCATCGAGCTCATCTATTAGATGGGGGGATTCTCAAATCACAGGGAGGCCCTGTGGGTTGTTTGCAGAGGGTGGAAGCCATACAGTATAGTTGCTAAGTGACGTAAAAAAGGCGATTTTGTTTTCCAGTCTACGGCTGTTGTTCTCTGGTGCCATCATTTAGCCCATGTAGTTTATATGTAATTTACTGTAATCGCTTTTTTATAAGCATTCGTTCCTATCATTTCCTTTACCCCAAGGGCAACCCTAGCAGTAGAGAAACCTGGGCCCACTTTGGGATCTAAAAACCCTCCTGTGAGAACCAAGGCACGGCATTGCGCTGTGAAAATTTTTGGTTCACACAAACCCTCCCCCTTTCTTCCAAAATTGCCGCTCGATGAAACCCTCCTTTCATAGCTGCTTATCATTGTACCCAATTTTTCCCGAAGAATTCCCGCGGGCCGTCTCGATGGGTGGAGTGGGGGGGGGGGGAGAAGGGAAGCGAGTGAAGCGTGAAAAAAATCAGCAACACACAAGTCACCTTTCGTGACCAGTTGCTGCCCCCCAGGGCGCAATGGTTCGAATAACTCCGCCCATTTCGTGAGCGAGGAATCCTTCAGGCTTCCAACAGCTATTCTACAACGAAGAACGTAGAAAGCCGTGTGTCATTTTACCGAGCTCTTCTGGGAAAGGAGGGGGGGTTCTGAAATCAGGGAGATTTCTCCTAGGTTGCGCGCTGGAAGGAAGTGAAATGCATGGCGCATCAAGGATGTGTTTATCAGGGCCAAGGAGATCGTTCTATCATGCCACCTCAGTGGAGATCGAGATCAAGTGAGCGTTCAGCCCAGATGTCCCTACTTCAACTGCAAACAAAGTTGTTTACGATCGAGTAACATTTGGCTAATCACGCCACATGATATGGCACGGTTTAAAAAACGATTTTGTTCGTTCTGAGCGCTGTTGACTTAATCTCCCGCCCCTTCTTAAAGGGCACCGTCAATTGAAACTAAGGGTCATTTTCACAGTTGGGTTTCCTGTGCTGGCTGCAAAGCATATTTGACAATCCAGCTCCAGCTTATCTAGGTTCCACTCTCTCAGATAAGATTCCGCGAAAAATTTCCCCGTCGACCGAAATCTGGTAAAGGGGCGTGGCCAAACATAGTTCTGCCCACGGCTTGTTTAGACATCTGCTAAGCGATGCAACTTTTCGTTCATTTTGCGGAACACTTGCACAAATTTTTGTTTCGTTTGTCTTCCGTAAAGTGTTCTTGAAGATTTTGGAGATTTGAAAGAAGTCTGACTCTTCCACTGAGTTTCCATTTCTTTTTCTTTCATCCACTGGAAAGACATTTCGCTCTTGCCGTATCAGCGGACCTTGATCTGACATCGGGCTCTTCTCATTGGTGGAAATCTTCTGGGCAAAGAAGTGAACCACGTTCTAGTGAGAAAGTCTCCATGAAAGGTGAAACTCCGCCCACACGATTTGCGTGGAAAGTTGTCTTAATTTCGACGCTAATAGCTTTGAAAACGCGAATACTTGAAGGGTTTCTTGAGCAAAATCGAGATTATACGGATGAATCGAATTGGATACGCCCTCCCCGGATTACTTAGACATTTTTACTTTGACAGACGTCTGCATCTCTATTACGGTATTTTTTTTCAAATTTATTACATGCTCGGTGATATGTAGTTGCGAAAAAAAACTGGAGAAAAAATTATTACACACAGTGCAGATATCGAAAAACCGATTTTCGAAATAGTGAAAGAGAATCCGATATCGGTATAGCTCTGCTCATTTTTAGAAACTCCATGCCCGCACGAAAAGTGAAAAATTTGCGCCCTAACAGAGTACGCGGTTGCCGAAAAACAAGCCTGGATTTCGGTACTCCTGAGTTTCTACAAGGGGTCCTTTAATTGTTCTCAAGGTTGTGAGCGAATATTAGAAAGGGGTCCCTGCAAGTGGCATGTCGAAACCCGTGCTCATCTTTTCCAGCTCCATCCCACTGATAGCTCTGGGGACTCCTCGAAGGTAGGCAAGGTCATGACGCAAGTTTTGCGCGACGGCGGAGGGGTGTCACGAGGTTGGGGGCATTTTGCACTTTTTCGTCCTGCTTCACTAAGATCTGCGTTCACAAACTCTCACTCTGGTGAGACCTAGTTGAATTCTTGTGAAATTGCAAATGGAGCAAGCGCGTCAAGCCATCATGTAAAACCTGAGTAAAACCCTGTCAAACTCGGCGAAGAGCGCTGAATCTAGATGCGAGTCTACACGTCGATGGAAAGTCGTTAAAGGTCAAAATGCCCCCTCCCGTCGCCAAACAGCGCCCAAGGTCATATGAGGCTTTGATGAGTGGAGTATTCACGAACAGCAATCCTTAGGCGCAGTTCGGCGCCACTGGGAGTACTACTGAACAAAGCCTTGTACAGACTACCTTGTGAAAACCTGTAAATTCTATAGGAAAAAAGAAAAAACTGGGCTCATTGTCCATTTGTAGCTTCACACGAGTTCACAGGTCTCACCTGGGCAGTGATATATGAACTTTAGAAAGGATTCAGTAAAAATGCTGATCCCCCCTCCCCTTGAATGCGGCCTCTCGATTTTTGGTATTTTTGTCTCCGTTCACCGCTTGCACTTTCTGCGCAGCCTTTTGAGCAGCATTGTCGTTTTCTAAAGTGATGTTAGATTGCACCCTCTTATTGAACCTTGGTAATTAGTGGGTTGCGAGTAGGGGGTCGATTTTTATAAGTTGATGCTCGCTGCCGCATGACTACCCTGATTTTGTTGTTCCCTCGTAGAAAAGGAGGGTTACAAAAGGGCAACTTTTATGAGTGCTGTTCACGATTGAAACATTGTTATTACGTCAGGAATGATTCACAAAAGGCGAATCATTGTGAGAAATTCGTGTTTCCCAGTACAGTGCTCGAAAACATTACGCTTTTTTTCAACATTCGTTTATACTTTAACGACGAACGTACGAGTTTTTCCTTCAGGGCGAATGCATTGGAATTCGCTCGCTGTCGCTCTCTATTTTGATCACCTTTCTCACTGCGAATCTTCTGGCAATATTTGGGTGATTGAATATCGATTCGCAAGGAGTCGGAACCAATTGTTATGTCCCATTTAGGTGATACTGCGACTGGTAGAACTAGCTTTTGTAAAAGGCCAACGATTAGCGGTGCAGGGGCGGTGACGTGTGGTAGGAAGTAATCTTGGGAGTTACTGGGTTGTTCAGCGGACGGACGATGCGTGAAACATGCGTATCTTGAAGCATCCACATGCGAGGGAGGGTCGTATTGTTCACTGCGTTAATAAATTCTCATCGGGATGTCCTGCTCAAGTGCAACTATATCCCTCTTCTCTTCGCTCCACCCCTCCCCCCTTCAATCCCTTTCTAACCGCAGTTCGTCGGCTTTTCGAGTAAAAAACGTAACTAGAAACTTGCTGACAAACATTGGGAAGATGTAGGTAGGATACGGAAAGTGTTACGAGAGGTGCGGAGAGCGGGCGGGGGGCTGGGTGGAGGAGGAATGAAGCGTTGTCCCATGTCCACAGGTTATAGTTCTGAGAGCAGGTGTCGTATTTCGCGAAACAAAATTACTCCCCGAAGGACGAGCAGGATGTGTAGTGACACAGCATCCTGGAGGCGCATACGGCCGAACACCCCAATCACTCTACCACTGGGCCTTCCTCATTCCTTTTTCACTTCTGTTTCACCGTTCAAGAAAATGAGTGTACGCCAATGAGCAAGGTGCAACGGAGGGCTGAGTCCGCCCATACGACCACCGTGGATTTCATCTTCGATAGAGAATTTTCCACTAAATGTGGAACGCGCCTTTCACTGCCAACCTCCTGTCCAACGGAAAATAGGGTTCCTATCATTTCTAGAAAGAAAACTAATCGGAAGAAAGACTAGAAAGACTGAAAACCCCTTATTCATCTTTTCTATTGGAGAATTTACCAGTCACCTACTTTCTCCGAAACCTTCTATTTTTTCCTATTTTCTGCTTTATTTTTCTTCGTTATATTGACTCACTCTGCTTTCAGAGGACTCCTCGGTCACACATCGCCGTCCGATCGACTTCGAGCTTACATTTCAGTACTGGCCATTGTCGACATCACCGTTCTGATGGTGCTATTTGTACGGATGATCTACCTCAGTGTTCCTCACCTAATGCTCGGTACTTTTACGAAGTCGTCTCAAAAATTTTCAAAGGTTTATTCGTTTTTTTTTCAGACACAAACAGCTGTCGTGCCATGTTCGTCATCGAACAAGCAGTGAAACTGGCCTCATTGACCCTTCTGTCCTGCATCAGTATCGAACGATATATCACCATCCGAAAGCCATTCTGTGGGCAGGTTTGTACTATGAAAGCTACATTCTTGCCTCTCAAGAACTTAATGCAGTAAGGTAAGCATAGGGTAACTTACGGGTTCAAAGTATGGCTTGTGCTAGGGGGGTACGGTGCTTGGAATTTTGACTTTGCCCCTATTGTTGAGAAAAGTAAAGCGTTAAACTTCGCAGTACAAGAAGTTTTCACCTCTTCTTCCCCAGCGGCGGTGTTAATGACAAAATGCCTTTGACAAAGCTGTCCTGGGGTCAGATTCCGGCTTGGCCCCACCCTAAGCCAACCGGGCCTTCTATCCTACAAATGCGGTGGATCAGTACCAGATTAGCCTGGTAGATAGCCATATCGCATTTAGCGTGTGGCGCATTCTAGAACGGGATTGATCAACGGCGAACGCCTCATCCACACTGTGTATAAAAGGTGCATTATAAAACGTATATCATACCGCTCAAGCGGCGCTGTTATCGACGGGGGGGGCATTTTTGTACCTATCACTGCTTCCCTTGTTCCGGTTTGCAAATCTCACTTTGGTAAAACTTGTGAACTCTTGTAAAGCTGGAGCAGGATCGTCTAGCCACCATCCCAAAACGTGTCAACTCGAGAAAACGCTACCTAGATGGGTCGACACATCTATGGAAAGCAAAATGCCCCCCCGTCGATAAACTGCGCCATAAAAACTGTATAAACGTTTTAATACCCGCTCAAGCTCCTAAACCATCACTGCAGATGGTTCGAGCAAATTTCTCCAGATCCTGTTTGCCTAGACGGAAAATGACAAGATTCTCCTAACAAGGAGTAAACAATATCGAGGGCGCAGTTTGTCGATGGGGGGGGGGCGGGCATTAAGCACTTTTTTCGCTCCTTTCCCATCGAGACGTGTCGGCCTATCTAGACAGCCTCTTCTCGAGTTGACAGGTTTTAACATGATGGCTTGATTACCTTGTTCCAGCTTCACAAGAGTTCACAGGTTTCGCCAGAGTGAGACATGTAAACCGGAACTGAGGAAGCAATGATAGTGCAAAATGCCCCCCCGTCGACAAACAGCGCCATATTCGAGTAACTCATGAATTTCACTGAACAGTTCTTTTTCTCAGGTACGGAAGCGATTCATCAAAATGACACCGGTTGTCGCTCTACTGATTCTCACCGCCGTAATCGTTGCTGTTTTAGTGCAAGTGGGTTTTTTCTTTATTTTTTACGATACAATCGTTTTATCACTGCGTCAGCGGCTGAAATCATTCAATTTTCTTCGGTCTTCGTCAGTGCGGCATAATGGCCTTGTATTCTGAATTTTACATTGAAAAATCACCCCGTCCTACCCTCGTTGTGTACATTCTAGTGAGAACCCAACAGTAATCCAGGTTAGATCACTAGAGGGCAAGGCGTTCCATGATTTTTTTTTGGCAAAGTCAGGACTTCTCATCCTTGCATCCTAAAGCAGAGCGTATAGCCATCGTGATGATGTGACGGTGGTTGTAGGTAAGCCCACTCTTCAAAAGGAGGGTCTCAGTAAGTACTGGACCCCCAGCCTGAATGAGTCTCGGTACTAACCCTGCCCCTCTTCCCCCCACAACACCTACCTAAAAATTTGCCCCATTTTCTAGTTTTTTTCACCCAAAAATTTTCCGTCGAGCCGGGGGAGTAGGGATATAATGCACATAAAACAGGAAAAAAAACAGGACAACGCAAAAAGTCAACAACCGGACAACCAACGCGACCAATTCCTCTCAAAGGCCAATTATAGACCCCCCCTAGAGGAAAACTTACCGACCCCCCCCCTACTGTGTTTCCACAGCGATGCTTTAGTAGCCGGTGATCCTAATTGAAGAGGGGCTCCAATAAGTCGTCTCGGAAATGAAGTGGCTCCAATAATGTGGGGACAAAGGCAGGCCTAACTCCAGTGATGCAATGAGCTTTCTCTGTAGCTTTTTGAGCCTGGGATACGAGTGGATCGCAGCGAAGGGCTAAATTAAAAGTAAATAAGAAATAACATAAAGAATATAGAAATATTCTCAGGTAAATGCAGTGGTGACGACTCCTGACAGCATGAACTGTACGCGAACGAGTCGAGAGAGGACGACGCCACGGTTGGGTGCCTACTTGACTGCCATCGCGTTCGTCTCCAATCTCACGACAATTTCCGTCAATTACGGTCAAATAGTCCGACATGTTAGAAGGAAATTCTCCAAGAGGAAAGCGAGAGGTCAGTACCACTGTTATTACCATCATTTATTTAATTCCTGGCTATTTATTAATTTGTTTTGTGCGAAGGCGGCTGTACGTTGAAGTGGATACAGCTTGTGGCGCGCGCTAGCCATAGAAAAAATTCTGTTGCCAACCCATGTGGGTTCACTTACAGTCTTGTTCGCTGCGGAAGATAGGGCGTGTCAGTGAGACTGGGTTCAGCGCGCCGCCCACTCTTCACCAGTTTTGAACGGCGCAGGTTCCGCCACCCCTTTTGACAGCGGAGTAAGCTGATACCAGTGCGTTTGGAAACAATTGCAAACGAAGATATTTATACAATCTTGCCGCCTGCTGTGGACAAAAAAATAAGAAAAGCGTGGCTGCGTGCCTGCAAGCGCCCAGAATGGAGCCAATCCCTTTGTAGAGTGCAACCGTTTTCAAATGGAGAACTTCAGTCAAGCGCCCCTCCAACTCCCGCGATATAGCGTGTGTATTGCAACGCGCACACCATTTTATGAACGTTGTTGATTGATGTGTAAACGGGTCAAAAACGCCTTTTTTCTTAAGTTGGTAAGATATGCGAGACGAATTTACTTGTTTACTTTTTACTCCTTTATGAGTACTCGCTCTCTTTTCGTTTTGCGATGAAGTACCATTCTGACTCACTTCCCGTGCAGGCTTGTAGGGTTTCTATCAGACTAGACGTCAGTCTGAATCACAGTCTTTCCGAGAACTTCAATTTCAGACGAGTCATGGGTCTCGTTCACTTTCACGGAAAACCCTATTAGTATCCTATTTCCTGAAGTGAAGAGGGGGGGGGGGGCATCTTCCCTCCCCTAACGCCCGCGGAAAGTTTTCTTCGCTTCACTTCAGTATAGATAAGAAGCAAGAAAAAGCATGCGCACGTCAAGGAACTTTTTCCAACAAGAGGTGTTTGGAAATCAGTTTGAAAATTGTGCCATGCAAAAAAAAAAACTTGAAATAGTTGCCTGTGGGTAAAACGTATTTCGCGGCCGACGCGTGTTGTTGCGTGTGACTTTGCGGAAAGCTCCTTATACACCGGAATATAAGGTAATTCTAGCAAAAGCACAGTGCAAACAAGAAAATATTGACCATTTTGGAAGGTCAAGACGAGCCGTATGCAAAGTGATTGACAAGGGATATTAGGCCGTCAGGTAATGCTTCTCGGAGAGTCAAGTTTGTTGACACTTTCTTCTTCACGAACTTTTAGTCTCTTCTAGTAGTAATCTGCTAGTAATTATGGAGCAGAGAGCTAGGTAGCGCTCCTGCATAGGGATGAGTCTTTTCTATCACTCACAATATTATAGTCAGGACAAAAGCGGTACCATGAGTGCATGAGCCTTGGCAATTACGACACGGAGGAAGCCCCGCCTTTTAGCGTGAGCATAGCTTACCTCCTCCATGCTACATTGTACTCCTGGCAATTCTAAGACTATGCTGAAATTTCCGTAGAAATGCTTGACAAGGCTCACTGTATTGGAAGGCTCGCTGCTGTACCCTCCCACGCAAGTCCGATCCCAATTAAATGGCTGCAGAAAAAGATTTCAAATGAGGGGGCTATTTTCGATCCCAGAGATCGCGAAAGACCATAAGCGGCGCCTGCAACCGCTACGCCACCATCGCACCCATGTAAGGTGTCTGTCTCAATCCTCTCACGCTATTGATAACGCTGAGAAATATTCTGATCCCTTTCAGTGGTCGCCCATTCCCGAACTACCAGGGAATCGCTGGTGAACGAGCCACGTTACATGCGAGAGATGACCAACGCTATCATTCGAGTGTTCGTCTTTCATGTCGTCTGCTGGCTGCCAACATGTCTCATCCAATTTCTGCCCGATTTTGGTCTTGTCTCAGAACTCATCACTTCTATTCGATTATTCAATAACTTTACTGATTTCAGGTGAGTAACTACTGTTTTCTAAGCAATTTCATACTAAGAACTTTCAAACTGTTCAATCATGGTCAAGCAGCCAAACACACTGTCATAGAATCTTTTCCAACACACACAACTCCCCTCACGTTAACAACAGGGTAGCGCATGCCCATGGGTTTAGTGGTAGTGTCAGTAGGACCCCCTTAAATTCCCCCTCCGTTACAAACCATTCCCACCCCAAATCGTGGGAAGAGGTGCCGGGTGTTCAGCTCCCTCGAACTATATATACTAACTCTATCGGGAACCTCCCCATTTCCCACCGGATAAACCATCTCCCAACTCCCTACTGCCGAATGGGGACAGCTCCTGACTCTGTGCTGACCTTTGTGCTCTATTAGATCAACAAATTAATTACAATTTAATAAACGAAATCAGTTTCAGTGCCATGCGATGGACGATATTCATAGCTAATTGGTTAACTTATGCAAATGCGGCTGGGAATTGGATATTCTATGCGGCTATGAATCGCGAACTCAGGAGTTTGATAAGGTGAGACTTTTTTCTGACTACTTCTGTTTAATAACACGTGAAATTCTCTGAAGCTTTCCTCGGTTGATCCCTTCCTGCGATTGTTAATTGACCCTGATGTTTTGAGTTCAATGCCTGGAAAAATCAAATTATTCTTGAAATCATTAAAGCGGTGCGGTTTTGCCCCACCTTTCCCTAAGAGCTTAGTATCTAAATTTGGCCAAGAAAATGACCACAAGCGTGCGGTCCGTATCTAGGGCAACAACAGGAGTGGCAGCGAGCCTGGCGAAGGTCCAGACGAGCGAGAGATGCCGAGACATGAATAATAGAGGAGGGTATGGGAACGCATTTCAGGAACACCCCTTCCGACGCTGCGATATGGAGGATAGTTCTTTGCACTGATGCATTCGTAGAAGCAGGGACTCAATATCCACCACGGTAGGGTTACGCTAGAGCGTCAACCTGCCACTACTGAATAACCTGGAGTACTGAAGAGCATCGTTCGCTCTTCCCGCCGGGCTTTTCTCTGTGCCGGTCTCATCGGTTCACTTTTACAACGAAGACCAGGACCAGAGACGCCCCAAACACGAGGGACTTGCGTGAGAGCGCTTGGCTTGACAAGCTTGTACAGTGTCTTTAGGTTCCTGATAAGAGTGACGCCCTACCTGGGCACAGGAAAGCGTTCTGAGGTTACACTGTGGGGGAAAAAGGACACTGAGCGAGTTACCTCCAGCCTTCTCCTCCCCAGTCAATTGTAAAGGCTGAGGTTTTAATTTTTTTTCGGTGAGCAGAAGACAGCAGCAAAATGTCGTAGCACTTTGCAAGCATACGCGAGTTGTTCGGCTGGAGGGGGGATTGGGAAGGGCACTTCAGCTTCGCTCGTTCTCGTTTTCTCGTTACTGTCAATTCCATGTCCCACTTTTGGAGAGCCAGCAGACTCATTTTTTAGTTTGGACGGGATTTGTGCTAACATAGTTCCAAGTGAGTGTAAGTTTTTCACGAGTCGCGATGATCGATGGGGATTGGCAAAATGCCCCACCAAGCCGAATAGCACAGCGCTGCAAGAGACTTAAGCGCTTACAGTAAGACTAGCAGCCCTTGTTCTGCAATGTTTGAGCTGATGAGGAATGCCAACTGGCGTTTACAAGTTTTTCAAAGGCGCGCTGACGCCTGTACATCGTTTTTGGACAGTCGACCTTCCAGTGGGCGTGCAAACAAAGGCTTTTTAACATCTTATTTTGGAGACCGTTCGGTACTTACAAGAACCTAACTTATATACTCCTTCTCATTTAAACCGCCACTTTAGGCTGAAATTCCTTGCAATTCCTACCTATTCAAGTTGCTTACGTAAAAGCAGTGCCACAGTAATGATCCTGTCGTAATTGAGTAAAAAGTGTTCTGATAATTTCCAAATCCATTAGCACTGTTTAGAGGGGTCGGTAAAAAAAGGGTGCCGAAATAATACGTTCCGTAATGATCCTGACGTAACTGACGAAAACATGTTGTCTGATCATTTCCAAGCCACAATAACGGCGGTTGCGAAAAGGACAGTAAGAGTATCGCCTCGCCGTCACCCCCCGCTTCTCTCGCCCGTCCAAAGAAATAGGCAAATCAAGTCACGACCGACTTTCTCTTAATCTTGGCATAGTTGTTCCGTCAAATTATTGTTGTATTTAAGCCGACCAAGATTGTTAACGTTTATTAGGCCAACGTTTCGGCTTCCTCGCCTTCGTCAGAGCCTGAAAGAGTCCGAAACAGTTGTGATTTGCTCTCCCAAACGCCTTAACAAAAACTGAAGACCCTTTTGAGAAACTGGTAAACAACCTAACGGTATCGATCGGTTAAGATGACTCGGCTTACCTTTGATCTCCGCCGCGGAGACGTGAGATCGACCACCCGGCTTGCAGTAATGCGATGAGTGAGAATCCCCCTCTATCCCTCGACCTCAAACCTCGACCTCATGTAGATCAAAACCCACAAAGGTCGGAGAAGGGCGCGAGTTCACGGGTTATGACCACACACTCCTCTTTCCTATTCATTTTGGGGTCTTTAGCCGAAATCCACAATGTAACAATGATTTCGGCTAAAGACCCCAAAATGAATAGGAAAGAGGAATGTGTGGTCATAACCCGTGAACTCGCGCCCTTCTCCGACCTTTGTGGGTTTTGATCTACATGAGGTCGAGGTTTGAGGTCGAGGGATAGAGGGGGATTCTCACTCATCGCATTACTGCAAGCCGGGTGGTCGATCTCGCGTCTCCGCGGCGGAGATCAAAGGTAAGCCGAGTCATCTTAACCGATCGATACCGTTAGGTTGTTTACCAGTTTCTCAAAAGGGTCTTCAGTTTTTGTTAAGGCGTTTGGGAGAGCAAATCACAACTGTTTCGGACTCTTTCAGGCTCTGACGAAGGCGAGGAAGCCGAAACGTTGGCCTAATAAACGTTAACAATCTTGGTCGGCTTAAATACAACAATAATGCAATCGCTCTTTTGCAGACTATGCGCACTATTTTTACTTTTGAAGTGATAATGGACAACCATGTCCGCGTCCTGATGAGTTCAAAATCGCTGCCACCTGTTGGTGACCCTTGGCAAAATCCTTGGGTGGAAAAGAGGAGACCAACCAGTTTGTTGTGTGCAGCGTATGAAACAGCTTGTACTACGAGGCCAAAGGCAAATTTCACGATAAAGGATGGGCGGAAGAAGAGGGCGGTGAATTACAACCATTGTCCCTCCCTGATTGGTACGGTGTGGCTTTTGAGCGCACGCCCACTTCTCTGCGGAAAAGAAGAAGACCGTGCCAAGAGGAAGGCGCAATGAATTGAAATTTAGCGCCCTCTTCTTCATCGATCTAAAATATCGCGGAGTGTCCCTTTGAGGCATCTAAGAAGCCCGAGCCCAGATTATAGGGTACTTATTTTGACTTGTAATCACTCTCTTCATGCTGCCCAAATCTGTTAAGATCATAATTTCAGATTTGCAACCGAACGGCGGAAACGATCCACTATGTCGCATACCGCATCGCCCTCAAATATGCACCGTAATCTTCGTCAGCAGGTATGAAAAAAACGCTTAGCCTCCATTGCTGCGAAAGGCTGGGAAGGGTGGGGGAAGGGCTCAAGCGACGGGGCCACCTTCTCTCACCAATTAACGGTCGCCAATAGCTTCGAACCTGGTCAGTAGAGACTGCCGCTGACAGAAAAAACAACGTCCCTGAAACGCCCCAGCATCCGCAACGCAACGGAAACTAGACTACTTCCTTGAAATCAATAAAGATATAAATAAAAAATAAAAACGAAGAATAAATTCTAAAGATTCAGAGAATGTCAATTATATCACAGAATTTAAAGCATCGATGTCTACAATCATGATAAAAGTCAAACTAAATTAAATAAACCTGATCAAGCATTATTGTATTTGAGCTCGAAGTCAATATTTGGACGCGGCGTGCCCTGTGCCAATTGCAGGTGACAGCTTCTATGAGAGTACTCCAGTCGCTCTCCTATCGTAGTAGTGTAGGTGGCTCACTTGACGAAGTCATTTGTCCTCCTTCATTAGTTCAACTCTCACCGAAAATCGTCGACTGTTCAGTCAGGTAACAGGGCAGTGAATGGATTTTTTGTTCTTACTCCGACGCGGTTGACATCGGGCGGGGGGGGAGGGAGCCGACAATAGTTTTCTCAGGGAGCCGCTGGACAGCCAATAGGGCGAAAACCAGGAACTTATCTGCGAGCTCAGTTTGATTCTGTCGGGCCAGGTTACAGCGATCATTGTGTGAAAGATAATAGAGGAGTCGTACTTTGTCGTCTGGGAGAGAGAGGGGTCGTATGTGCTTTTGAGAAAAATTTGTCGCGTTGGTTTTCCGGTTAATGACTTTTTTGCGTGATTTTTCCTGTTTCATGTGCACTATATACCTGGCGCTTTCCGTTACGGTATTTTGAGGCTCGACAGCAAACATCAGGGAAAAAAGTAGTGAAATGCTTTCGAAAATTCGGAAAAAGTGGGAGGAAGTTGGAGAAATTTTACCGTTTCACACTGGCTTTATATTTCCCTGAAAACATTTGATTGTCGGTTGACATTTCCAAAAACTCACAATGAATCGGCGATATTCTTGAGATTGACACAGTCCATACTTTGGTCTGGGTTGTTTTTACGAACCCAGCCGGGGTGAGCTTCCCCATATGAAAACTTGTGCCTTCTGAATAGCGTAAAGAGCAGGGCTCTCAAATAGAAAGGTATAGTGTGGGTATGCCCAATAAGATGCATCGTGACTGACCGACTTTAGGCCCATAAAGGTGTAGAAGACGGGAATCACTGGGGACACAGTCTTGTGGGGCGCATTTGGGATGGGGAACGGTGTCCCGAAACCTGCCCATAGGATCAGCCTAAACTGTAATTTTGAAATAGTGACACTTATTTTTACAGTAACTCCAATTAAACAATTATTCTTTGAATTTACAGAATAACAACCCAATCATTGGTCGTACGAAAAAAAGGCAGCCCGCAATTCGTCTTCGAGAATGGTCTTAGGACCGGAAATATTTCCTCGAGGATGCTCGCCCATTCTGAACCGACGATTCCGGCTCCTGGTTCATACTCGTCTGAAGAAAAGTGATCATTTTGTTGCGCCATTTCAACGGGTGTATTTCACAACGTACAGTATCGGTAACTGATTAGGATTACCGCCTTCTGGCGCGATAACCTCACTTGTACACTCCTTATCCCTGAGACAGAGTAGGCGTGGCTTTTGAGCATGGCATAGGACGGGTTACTCGTGATATACTTCAATTTGAGACAACTGCCGTTTTGCTCAGTTTTAGATTGAGACATGACTACAACTGTTCCAAAATGAAAACATCGCCCTAAAACCCGAGCCGCCGCCACTCTAAACTCAAGTACGCAGCCACGCCTACCCGATCTCAGGGATTTCGAGTATACCTGGTGACACACGCTATTCTGGGAATGTTTTCACACTTCGGACCGTGCTCTCGATGCCTCATTGTGGAGTATGGGTATCGATTACATGCGTCCAGCGATGTGGGTCAGGACATCCGAGCTGCAGCATCGCGCAGAACTTAGCTGGCAGTATTTCCTAGCTAGCTGTCCCAGCTTGCTGCACTTTTGAATCGAAACAAATAAGTCTCGATGGGAAAGACGCTCACGCGACAACTCGGACTTCCTGACCCGAATGGCCATTCCTAGGTAACCGTGCCTCGAATCTGGTGAAGTGTGGAAATATCCTATTGTGTCGTTATGTATGTATTTTTTTGCTCACATTCATATGTAAATATCGCCATTACACGGGTACAGCGGAGCTGAGCTGTTATCCTCACCAACATTCCTCTTCGATGATCTTTGAAGGCAGAGGTTCCAAGGAGTTGTAGACGGAACGCTTCTGGGAGATAGACGCCGGGCCCCAGTGGGCTGTTTTTCGATTTCTGACTCAAAGGCAGTGGGCACAATGGCCAGGGGCGGGCGGTTGCTACCACCTCATTGGTGGAAGGCCTGATGGGTGTGGCCAAACGCCTTCTCATACCCCTCCACAAATGACGTTGGCAGCAACCGCCCGCCATCAGCCATCGTACCCACTGCCTTCTAAGATCGCTCAGTTGTTCCGCCTACATATTCGTGTTACTTCTACTTTCCACCTCTAAGTGGTACTGCATAATAAGTCTATATGTAAGATATTGAGCATTCCGCGATTCATGTAAACGTTGTACATAAGCCTAATAAAGTATACGGTTGACGAGAATCTCTTCTTGTATCATTAAATCTTTTGTGCGCGGGATAGCGACACAAGCAGCAGCATATACACCCCATTTCCCGGAGATGGAGAGGGCGTGGCTTCATTAGTTCAATTGAACGTGACGACGGCTGAGCTTTTTGTGTGATATTGCCCTTTTGGGAAAATTATATTCCATTTCGGTATGCACCACCAGGCAGAATGACAGTCGGCCTAAGCGAAGATATCAAGAGAAAAACACATCGCATCCCACGTTCATGTTCGTGGCCACCCTCCCATCTTTGGGATGTGAACTCTTCCTTGGTCATAGGAGCCGCTATCAAAGACCATATGCAAAAGGTGTCTTTTCTGGCTTCGTGTTTGACTTTTTATTGGTTTAACATTGGCACCGCTAGACACCCACTTGGGGTTCGCATATCAGAGAAATCGGGATTTTTGCACTCAAGTATCAGGTTATGTAGCGGCACGCGTGATTTTTCGCATACTAAGCTACGACACTTGGCCCTCTAAAGAACAAAAAACACGTGCAAAAAACACCCCGAAAAAAAAACCAAAAAAAAAAAAAAAAAAAAAAATCTGTGTTGAGCCGCAAAATGATCACCGAGGAGCTTTAAAGTCCAACATTACTAAGTGAATTAACTTTATTTTGCTTGAAATTATTGTTAGTAGGCCAGATCACGGCAATGAGGCAACATTTTTGGATATGTTTGATAGAATTTCGTTGATGATAGGTACTTTTCGATTTCCCATTTCCACTCGTAAAAATGACGAGATTTCCTTGATTTCTTGATTCCAAAAATTTTTATCGATAGTGAATAGCTTGGAGATATCAACTTTTAATCCCTAAAAGTGTACATTCAGGTTTACTTGCAATACTCAGCACTCGAAACTGTTTGAATACCTCTGTATTTAATTTCTGAGGCACCAAACCAATTGGTGTGGTCTTTGTAGGCGTGTTATCTGGTGCAGTGCATCTGAAACATAGCACATTACAGCCCTCTCATCCTTGATCCCTCATTTCCAGCGTGCCGTTCCGTGGCGAGATACGCCCAAATCAAACCGCTCACTGAAGCGCCCTTCGCTCCAAACGGTCAAGAGAAGAGCGCACCAATGAGGAATGCTGGATGGCTGACTGTCTCCGCCCCTACAATCAGTGTGGACTGTTCGTTTACGGGAAACTCCTGATGTCATCAAATAGTCAGAAAGGTTCCCACGAGTGGGCCTGCCGGACTTTTCGGGCTGATATACCTGTTCACAATCCATTCAAGTACTCGTATGTTCTCCCCGAATCCCGGCCAAATTGGTTTTCCATCTGAACCTTCTTGATACCAATTCACCATGAATATCTTCGGTGTCTGAGAATAGAACGATAAGAAATCGTCACTTTTCCTGAACCTCAGCTGAAAGTTACCTGTCTTACCTGGTTTACTTTCTCTTTGAGACTTAGCCAATGTTTGATAAAGTCACCAAAATTAAATGAAAAGTATGTTCTCATGCACATGGGATTGTGGACCAAAGCTGTGGCTGAAAAATTGAATAACCAAGTGATCGACGCTGATCAAACGCTGAGAGATGTGCAGCGCATTTGATGGGTACATTTGGAGGCGCATTCCACGCTGGTTCTCTGGGTGCAGGGCACGCCATCTTTGTGATAATCACAACGGGGGGGGGTCGTATTGTGACGCGAGGGAGGTGGGTCGTATTTGGTGCTGATAAATAATTCTTGGATATTTAAATTTCTTTGTCTCCACGGACGGCTACTAAAGGGGGGTCCTGTTTGCTCTGGGAGAGGGTGCGATATGCGTCGCTGAGAGGAATTTGCGGCGTTGGTAAAAAAACTTTTCCCAGTTGTTGGCTTTTCGCGGTTTTTCCCCTTTCACTGTTGTTATATAACACCCCTAAGTTCCGCACTAGCCATAAGATTTGGTATATGATACTACTAATTTCAATACTTTTGAACGAACAGTATTATTTCCTGACGACTAACCACGTCCGCCCGTCAACAACAAAATTTGGGGGAAAAAACTAGGAGAATTTACGGGAATGCACGGAAAAACTGGAAGAAGTGGATCAGGAGTGGGAAGTCTAGACGTGTGGTCAGGATGGAGGGGGGGTCGAATCAGAGTTTAGGGCGGGCGGTCATTTTGCAGGAAATTTACTTCACCACTCGATTGGCCTTCCGTGCGTGTCTGCGCGATGAGCGAGCGCCCAAGACAACCATGCTCGATGCGTTCAAATGGCGCGATGCGAATCCTGCGAAGCGCCGGCAATCACAACGATCAGGAAAGCCAGCCAAGTCGGGTCGTATTTTATATCCGCTTCCCAAATTGTTTAAACTCTGCTGATCCAACAAAATCGAGTAACGTATTTAGCTCTTCTTCACGTTCGCGCCAGTTGTGGTCTACGGATCTCCCAGTCTGTTCGCCCGGTATACGATGTTGCGGGTGGTTCTATTATGCTACACCAAAAACCTAAAGACCGTACACTATGGATTGGTGATGTACTGTTACTTACTTTCGGCTGTCGAGTTTCACTTGGGAAATGCGTTCGCACTATCCGGCGGCCGATCCACAACTCCATGCTCCAGATTGTGTTTCATAAACTAGAGGCATTTCATCAGTTCTTTTGCATCCAAATATCATGCTGAAACAAATAAAAGCTACCACTCAAAAATCCTCGAACGTACGTTCCACGCAACTCGAATGGGCGGAGTCAGGCCTACCATACCAAAGCTTTCCCTTTGGAAAATAGGAAGGGTCCAACAGTGAAAATAGCAACTGTAGGCCTGATTCTGCTCAGAAGATTTTTGTGGTTCGTGCCGGAACCATGGAAAAAATTAGGTGCAAGAAGCGGGCATTCAAATATTATTTGTGCAAAACTGGGATTACCATAAACCCGATAGAATTGTCGTACTACAAATTGGTTTGCCTACTTTGGAGCTCCTTACTCTCAAAGTCTTTGCGAAGTCTCCACGACAATATGGTGGTTTTAGTTCTGCACAAGGAGCCCTTCAAATACCCTCCCCCCTGCAAGGGTCATAAGTGCCCGAAATTGCAATGAATTACAACTGTAAGACTACAATAACGTATAGCTTACAAACTAATGGGCACTCCTGCTGAGAAGTCCCAGTTATGATGCAGATTGGGTGCAGAACTCATAAATACGCTATACCGACAGTTCAAGTGATTAGGAGGCCTGAAAATAAGAAACTAACTGAAGCTAACCACAGACGGGATTCTCATCCTTGGGCAGACGGCTAGTCGTCTCATCTAGTAAAGAGGCAGTCCATGCTGATCGTGTGGGCGGAGCGAGCCGCGCCGTTGTGACTTCCTAATTGGTGCGCCTCTGTGACCTACCGTAACAGTAGGCTGAGGTGCACCGAGGAAAGTGTTATGACAGATCTGACTCCGCCCATACGATCAGTGTAGACTGCGCCTTTGAATAGGTTTGCACCTCGCTTGGACCAACTAAACCTTCCACACACCGGATGTGGAAGGTTTAGAAGGTTAATTGACGCACCTGTTGTGTTCGGGTTTCCATTCCTCTCGATTCCAATCGCTGACTCGCTCGTCTTCTTCAATAGTACCCTTCAAGGCATCCCAGAGGAATCGGCCTTTGCTGGTTGTTGCACAATTCACCAAGATGCCTATTTTGTTAGCAATTCTGAAATTAAGAAAACCATTCATCTTCGGGTGAACATAGAGATAGTAGCAGATTAGAGGCCGATGTTCAGATCCAGCATTGCTCGTTGGATCCTTCCAGCTTACGAATACCTCATGCTTATGCCTTGTGAAGGTTGATGAAGTTATTGACGACAGACTACGATACGTCACAGTAGTCGAGACTACTTGCTAAACTGCTTGTCCCAGGCCTCTCTTTGTGTTGTAAACGCCCCGCCACCGGCCTACTCTCCTTCACTTTGTTAGAGATTGCGGAACAAAGCCTCTGTTATTCGAGGTTTTGCGAAAGCCGTGTTTGCTGCAGATTATACGCGCGGTGCGTGTGCACAGGACTTGGTTCTTTTTTTGATCAATTCTGTGTTCTGGAGTGTATTCCTTTCCCGAATGTTTGGCGTTTGCTTTGCTTCTAATGTGGCTGCTTCGTCAATCTTCTAATTGCCTCTTCGTCCGTTCTTCACCATTGATTCCCTTAACAATGGGCAAGACAGGCTTGACGAATAGGGGCCGAGAGCGCAGACTCGCCGTGACACGCCCCATTCGCGACCTGGCAGCGAAAATGAAAACATTTCAATCGCAATGAACTGACTTGAACTGTGATTAATTCCTTGCCTCGCAACTGAATCGATGATTTTTTGTGCCTATAAATGCCTTACCCTTAAAGACATTTGGGTGCATTCTGCCGTGTTTGTATTGGTGGGTGCAAGTCCCAAACATTGTCGCGTTCCTTCTGTGGTGGCCAAAGCGTACATCACCGGCGATCTGGACGCTGACATTTGGACCCACACGATGTCGTCACCGAAGTAGATCTCGTACCTGTAAGAGTACCCCTTCTATAAGGTATGTTAAAGTATTTCTAAAAAGTACTCACCTGCCATCCCTGAATAGCTGGTACCATTAAAGCGACTAGTGTCTTTCCTGAAGCGTTTGGAAACGACACACAGCCATACACATCCTTGCCGGGCAGTTCGTTGACCTGTACGTAGGTGAGTGGCAAGTAAGGCGTCATTTCTTCGGCGCCCTTCATCGCAGTAGCAGCAGGTGGGGGCATTTCGCCTGTTCTTCATCTCGTGCTTGCGATAATGTAAGTTAAAGTATGCTTTGCTGTGGTGAACAGGGTACAGGGCAGCCGTTGTGTGAAACACAGAGGTGGGACGCTGGGCCTAGTTTGGTCGTTGTTCGGAGAAGATGGGGGTGCGTGTGTGTTTGTTGCTGAGAAATTTGCCGCGGAAAAAACTGCGGGTTGGCTGTACTTTTGCTGCCGGGTTTTTGTGAGATGGTGGATGTCATGTACGTGACCCCCCGATCCCCCCTCTCGCTCTTACCTGCTCGGCATGGAAATTTTTCGGACGAAATTGGGATAAACAGGGGAAATTTGTCAGGCAAAAATATGGTGTCAAGGCGAAGGAAGTCGGAGGGATCGGCAGCATGGGTAACGGTCATGGAAGCGCAAAAGGCATGTAGGGGTCGAAGAGGGACCGGCGAGCTGGGTGGTCGATAGCAGGGGTGGTTCCGAATGACGACGGCGAGAATTGGCTGCGCAGGAACGGTCGGGAGTGGACCCATATAAAGGCGGGGGGTGCAGCGCGAGAGGAACCAAGCTCCTTTTTTGTCATGTCGTCTATCCTGCTAAATGTAGGCCTTGTTCACCGGGACAAAGCGCGAACATCCTCTGCCGCCACTTCCCCCCCCCGCCCCCCACCTGACTGTCCTGATACGGCCTAAGTGGCCGTGAGTCCTACACAATAAGTGAGCTCTAGGATTAGCGCAAGCCTGGGAAATATTTGGCGAGTTTGCCAGCCGAACGTTGCAACAGCTGGTCGCATCCACTAGCCGATTCACCTTCAGCCGGCCGTCGGCGACTCGTTCGCTGTCAATTTTCTACCTTTCTGTGATTGCTCAGCCTGTATTTTCGTTAGCGCCTATTGTTCTGTTACTAAGTAAATTTTCTATTACTTGCTGGTTTTGCTTCTGTGGCAATAGACGTCCAGTTGATCTCGAACCAGCTGGGCGTACAGATGGTAGGTGCTGGATATCTTGGTAGGAAAATGATAGATCAGGTGTGGTGAAGAGGGGGGGGGGTCGTACCGGAGAGGCCCGGCTTGCTGCGGGGGGGGGGAGAATGCGTACTGGACACCACTTCTCACACATCACGGTGCTGTAGGATGTACGTGAAGGCCTTTCCGCGTTGGTACGTTTTGGCGCGGCGCCAGCTCTTTTCCACTAGTCACTGCCAGTATGGTTCCGTGATCGCGCTTTGATGGAAATACACTGGAATCAACGGTGAAACGTATGCACGTAAGATACCACCATCCGCTCCAATAAACACAGAATTTCTGGGGAGGGTCGGAAAATAAAAGAGGTTAGGGCGCTGTTTGTCCGAGCGGGGGGGGGGGTGGGCATTTTTGTATTATCATTTGGCTTCCGCTGTTCGCGTTTACTAATCTCACTCTGGTAAGCGCTTGTGAATCTTGTGAAAGCTGAAGCTGAGATCGTGCTAGCTCCGTATCCTAAACGCTGTCTAACTTCTGAGAAACGGCTGCCTGGCTGGGTCGGTACATCTATGGAAAGCAAAATGCCCCCCCCCGTCGACAAACTGCGCCGAGGTTAGGCTTGTGAGCATCGTTGAAGGATATTGCGAAGGGGACTGCATCCAAAAATTCTACTACGTAATAACGAGGTATAAAATTTGGGGAAGAAGGGATTCTGAACAAGGTCCGAATGTGGAAAGAGAGAAGGGATTATTTGAAAGTGCGCCCGGTGCAGTTCGGCGACGGGGAGGGGGCATTTTGCACTTTCGTTGCTTCACTAGTTCGGTTTACAAGTCTCACTCTGGTGAAACCTGTGAACTCTTGTGTGGAGCAAGCTCGTCAAGCCATCATGGTAAAACCTGTCAACTCGAGAAGAGGCTGTCTAGATGGGTCGACACGTCGATGGGAAGTAGCAAAAGTGCAAAATGCCCCCCTCCCGTCGCTAACTGCTCCAGCACGCCCTATAGTCGCTTGAACATCCCTGACTTAGTGGCGTTGTTTCCTCAGCGCTCTGTACCATTAGCCCTCCTTTCAGCTGCAGTCGATAGACTTTCTAGCAGCATGAGCAGCCGGCTTCTTCTTTGGAAGCAATCGTACTGCTTCGGTATACCAGGATAGAAGTAGTTATGTGTACCTTTAACGGCAATCAGAGCCGCGTTCATCACAATCCATCCTTCTTTCCAACCGCGATATGAAGCTAGACGAAGCCCGAGGCATTTCTTGCTCAGGAAAGCATTCTCGCCAAAGGCTGATCCGAACGACCAAATCTAGACATGAAAGAAAATCGTACACTATTGAGAGTGCGCAGATTGAGAGTTTCTCGTACACCGTTGAGAGTAGTTGGAGGAGGAGGGGGCAGGAGGATCAAAAATCTCACCATGCTCCCAGATCTACACTGGTTGTTCTCAAGTACAAGCAAGTACAATGAAAGCATTAAACATTACCTCGTTATCAGATGGACGAAGTGCGAGGAAAAAGCGGTTTGGGTTACATACCCACTGAAAAAGGAGAAATCAAGTGAAAGTAAGAACGTAACAGAAATAGCTGCTAGCGTAGTTGGAGGGGACTACACGGCGGTACTAAGCCGCGGCCCCTCTGGAAAACTTCCCAAATGAAAAGACTAGCGCAGATGACAAAAGAAGCCGTGGTCGGCCTACTGTTGAACCATGGACCTCCAACTGTGCTAGCGCTCAAAAATATTCTCAATTCACACTTGCGCCAATTCCTGCTTAATTCTATCAAATAAAGACCAGAAGTCTACGATAACATTTCTGAGCACTACAACAAAAAAGCTGCGAACTGCGACTAGGGAGAACAGTAGAATCAGGCAGCATAGATCGCCATTGTGAAGAACCCATCAGAGGGAGTCGCACTTGGTTGATGGGGCAGGGGGGGACGTGGTGCAAGCGGCAGATCTACTATTTCTGATTGATGGTATACATACTCCCGGGCAGAAGTTGGAAAGCAGGCAGTATAGGTTGCAGGGCTGTCGTATCAAAGAACGGGAAATTAGGGTGGATCGTACTGATACCACCGTTTCACCCATCCCCAAGATGTACCCTGGAATCGGGAAAACACGCGCTGAAGACCGGAGTCGATCGATTCCCATCTATTTCTGCGGTGCCGTTTCCCTAAGATGTCGAATTACAGAATGTTCCTATTCTTCCAAGTCGCCAAGTCGATTCCCACACAGTGGGCGCGCATTTTCCGAAAATAGTGAATCGTCCATCGTCCTATTCTCCTATCCTCCCAAGTCGGAAAATATGGAATAGGCTAACAAAGCGAGAATTCAGCTTACACCACATTTGGGAGCCGTTGTTATTGGACGAGGCCTTCCGATCGAATGGATACATTTCACAAAGTCAGCCTGTCCAATAGCATCCCATACCGAAGATGACACTCTAAACATTGGCAGTACAGTTCCACTGCAGGCGTTTTCATTAAAGTCATTTGGTTTCAGAACAATCCTCAACAAGATGGAAAGATCGAAGATTAAGAAAATGGAAAATTACATAATTGCCCAGTATGCTGACAGGAGCTGAGAAATAGGTCTCTACCCTGAAGCTGACTTCCTTCCATTTATTAGGTTGTCCGGAAAGTTCTCAGCGTTTTGTGTTACTATTTTTTGTACATTCACTGCTGATTAAAAACTCATTCTGCCTTGCTTCTCAGTAGCATATCCTGTAGAGAATTTCTTGCGCTATCTGATGGTATAATTGCCGTTTCACCATTGCTTGGTTAAACCCCCTTTTTTCAAGATTTTTTTCAAGCATGTGAAAAGAGCACTTCGGACGATTTTTTCTTCGACTATAAATTGGGGCCAATCCGCAATCCGAACAGGCTCAACAATTAGCAGGTGGGGGCCAATAGTGCTAGAGAAAGCACTGTGCGGCAATGGCTCAACAAATTTCGTTCTGGAGATTTCAGCCTTGAAGATGAACCTCGTAGCGGTCGACCTAAAGCAATACCTGACGAGGATTTGAAGGGTTTGTGGAGGCTGACCCATCCCAAACAGTTTGAGAGATTGCAGAAAAGCTTTAGGCCGTTTGGCAAATCACTGTTGCGGATGGTCTGAAACGCAATTGGGAAGGTGAAACTCGACAAGTGGGTGCATCACATTGAGCTGATGGCAAATTGGCCACGTTCTCGGAGGGTTTCTTCTTCACTGCTTTTGACGCAACAGAAAACGCTCCGCGTCTTTGGACCGATTGTCACCTGTGATGAAAATGGCCATGAAGAAAATCAGGAGACGTTCCGGACAGTGGTTGGGATGCCGACGAACCACCGAGGCAATTTCCAAAGCCGAATCCTCACGAAAAAAGATGGTCACAGTGTGGTGGTCATCGGGCTGGTGTGATCCACTATAACTTTTTGTCACCAGGCCAAACCATCACAGCAGAACCCTACTGTGAAGAAATCGGGAGACGAATCTGTACCGAAATTTTGTCAGTTGCAGCCGGCATTGTCAGCCGAAAAGTTCCGATTCATTCCGCGATGGACAACGCCCACCCACACGTTTCACAAATCACTATCCATAAATTGAACGAATTGGGGTTGAAGTTCTACCTCACCCGCCATATTCTCCAGACCTTTCACCAACCGACTATCACCTTTTCAAACATTTTCAGAACTTCCTTGCTGGAAAATACTTCATCAATCAGGACCAGGCAAAAAGCCTTCGTAGATTCTCGACCACCCCAGCTTTTCTTGATGGGAGTTCGTCGACTGAGATTCCATTTTGCAAACATGATGTGATTCGACGGTGTTATTTCGATTTAAATACGATTGATATTAAGAAGTTATTGATCTTTCAAAATGAAACGCTCACGTTGAGAACTTCCGGACAACCTAATATCAGTGACCACTTGCCTCGTTAGTATTCTCATGTTGAGCACCACATAAGGCGAATCGGTCAGCTGTACGGCGTTGATCGAATAGCGTCCACCGATTGGTCCCATTGAAAAAGGAATGACATACCTGTTGGGAATTTCATTATGTGCTCATCGAGTCAAATATTTCTGCTACAAAATTATGCTGGTATCCCGGACATGTGACCATGTGAGACGAGCAGGGCCAAAACGAAAGTTCGTGTAACTCACATCACCCTTCCTTGCATGCACCCAGGAAAGCGTGAATACGCGCCTCAGTGTTGAACTGTGCAGGTGACATCCAACGAGCAAATGCATGCGAGGATTTCGGTTGCCTTCTACAAAA